ATATATAATGTAGCCACATCATCTCATCTTGTATTCTGTAAACATTATTTTTATGTAGGTCTTTCAGAATATTTGTCTCAATCGTTTTTCCTCTTTAGCGGTGATTGGATGAGAAGATGCATTTTGCAAAGATTTGCTTCTTCAGGAGATGGCTACCGTTATTTATAATTGTGTACTCTATTTCCTTCCACATATGGCTTTCACAGAAACCCAGAAGTCTGGGGTGCGTATGGGGAGGAACCAAACAAATATCACAGAATATTTCAGAGAAAATGCTCCACCACTTCAGTGTCTTTGATACCGGCATTTTCAAATGAAAAAGCAGTCTTTTATTCATTTTTAGGTTGAATCTACGATGGATTTTGCCTTATTTGTATCTAGATTACAGTTTGAAATGTGATGTGTTCGATCCAATCCTACCGAATTCCTAGGGAACCAAATAAATCCACCTTGGAAAGAAGGCTCTGCCACTTCAATTTCTTTGATGCCACCACTTTCAACTCACTTTTACCATGATGGATCCCAGTACCAAAAAAAGTTTGTTTTCTTGAGTCCTTTTCTCTAGTTGTAGCCAGCTTCTGAAGAAGGAAATCTTTGAGAAAAGCATTGAGAATAAATGATTCATCTTCTCATTCAATCCCTGCTAAGAAAAAAATGGAGTCAAATATTCTGGGAGAGACTGTTATGTAAGAACAATGTTTACAGAATATAAGAGATAATGAGAAGATGCAGCTACATTATATATGATGGGATATGTTAATGATATGCATATCAAAGTAATCCTATGTGATAATTGGATAGTTCTAAAGATGTAAATAAAGTTTGTGGTTTATATGACATATGATTCTACAAGTCCAATACTTGGGGCACCTTAAAGGTCTTATTGCAATGTTTCTAACTTCTTCTAGTAAATGCTAAATAATCTAGTTGAAATACAGATTTGGTAGCTATTTTAACCTCCAAAAGGATTTGTATTTGTCCATACAGGGAAAAAAGGTTCCGAGCCACCAGAAGGAACAAGACACCACACCCCTAAATATAATTGTAAAAAAAGGATAGCGAGAGTGGGGCTTTTTAGGTGTCGTTCTAAGCGCAAAGAACACGTATTATACATATGTCTTTAAATAAATATTTTTTATTCATGCATATAATTACATACATATAGATAAAACCATTCTAATATATCCACGATAACCCCAAAAGAGTTAAAATTGACTTTAGGCATAGCGCCTCCCTGGACCACATGCACGGCATCAGCAATTAAGATAAACATTTAAACATCTTATTTCATATAAATATATGGAGGTTAATCATATAAAGTCATTGACACATCCAGTCTTGTCATTGCACCGTGGGTCCAGCCTTCTATGCGTTTCGCTTAAAAAAAAGCTTCCTCAGAAAGATAAGGAGGCTGCCTGCAATATTTGAATACCATGGATATAAATACATCTATCTATAGGAATACAAACTTTTACATCACATGATAGTTGTCATTGAAAAATAAATAAATAACCACTGAATAAATTAAACCACCTTGTTTGGGGTTCCAGTGGTGGATGAATCCACATCTCCCAGGGGACCGAGCACCACCGCCCAGATGATGTAGGGAGTGAGGGATGTACAAGAGCACCAAAGAGAAAAGGTTAAATTGTATTTGTCCATCCAGTGCTAAAATATACACAGCTAATCTATATTATACTGCAGAAAGTCTTCTTTTTTTTTATTATTCTACCAAAATCTTTTTATTATCTTAATACCAGTTGAATGCTATTTATTGTAATTGTAGCCCTGATGAAGGCCTTAAAGACTCCCCCAACACCTTGGCATTTAGTAGAACTCCGCAACCAGTGCTTTCATATCTTTCCACTAGGGATGCACCGATACCACTTTTTTAAGTACGAGTACCGATACTTTTTTCCAAGTACTCGCCGATACCAATTACCGATACATTTTCTTAAAGGGACAGGTCACATTTTTTCTAAAGCAATACAAAACCATGATTTTAGGTCAGTTTCTTAATATTATGAAGAACATGAACACTCTGTAGTGTGGCACAGCTATATCCAATTCTGCATACCTGGCTTTATATTATAAGAAAATGTAATAATAATATAAAGCCAGTTATACAGAATTGGCTGTAGCTGTGCCACACTGTGTTCTGGTCTGCAGTCTGGACATGTGCTCATCTATTTTGACCACTAGGGGGATACAAGCCTTAGTTAGCAATGGCATGATAAATATTCATTTCATTATTCAATGTCTTTTTTTTAATATCATAATATAATAAAAATGAATATTTATCGTGCCATTGCTAACTTAGGCTTGTATCCCCCTAGTGGTCAAAATAGATGAGCACATGTCCAGACTGCAGACCAGAACACAGTGTGGCACAGCTACAGCCAATTCTGTATAACTGGCTTTATATTATTATTACATTTTCTTATAATATAAAGCCAGGTATGCGGAATTGGCCGAGCCCCATGAGGTGTACTAACCTGCTGTGTCGTCTTCTCCGTCTGCTTCAGCCACTCCGTGTCACAGCCTAGTCATCTGCTCCAGTGGCGTAACCAGAGTTATGGGCGCCCGGGGCAGAAATTGTTTTTCGCCCCCCCATATTATATAAACATCCACTAGAACTGTACCCCCCATACTCGGTATCGGTGCATCCCTACTTTCCACTATACACTCTCTTTGCTTAGGCACTCTGCCAGATTAAAATAGTAGTACCCAGATGCACACTCATCACCTATGTAAAACATTATCAGCAGTGGTCTTGATCGTAGCTACTCCTTATGGTTGGGGGGTGATGGTGGGGCGAGCTCTCTCTGAGTCCAGATACTACAGTCCAATCTGCTCTGTGCTTCTCGTAGCATTGACTGTGAATTTGCTCCAAGCCCTGTATTTCGATTTGTCGTACGTATATGTCTAAAGGCTTTACAGGGCAGCTTTTGTGAATTTATTAGGGGAAAAAATGGTTGTATAACATGTTTAAAGTAATCCATCTGGAAGTGTGTTGAGAGCAATTCTTAACCAGAATGTGAGCTATTCGTTTATAGATCAAATTTTGATACACTAAGAAACTAATCCCAGCAGATGCAGTAAAGGCACCTGCTGGGTCCAAGACTAAACTGACCAGCTCCCAAATTGTACATTTCTTTCTCCACCAATAATACCATTGGGGGGGGGAGGGGGGAAATTTATCAAAACTGAAGCAGATAAAATCTGGAGCAGAAGCAGATCTGCACTGCAGCCAATCAGCTTCTCTGTCTCATTTTCAAATCTTACTTGAGCAAACTGAAGAAAGAATCTGATTGGTTGCCATTGGCAACTGCTCCAGATACTTCTGCTCCAGTATTGATAAATCCCCCCCTTTGTTTTTAAGCACTGTAATCATCAAAATATATAGAAATATTCTAGTACTTATAAACCACTTGATATATTGGTGATATATTGCTATTCAGCTTCCATGTTGATCCTGGATTAAAAATGGATTTCTAGGAATTGGCTCTACTGTTTTAGCAAGGTATGTGCACTTGTGTGTCCCTTTTTGTAGTTACTCTTTTATCTGCTTTTCTGGGAAAATGTGTGCTACTAACTTTTCTTACACTTCTAACTGAAAGCTTTGTGCTTCACCTTTAAATTACAGTTTACAATTTTTGTTAGTGAGGTGTGGTCTAACTGGCAAATGACAAATTTATAAGGGGGAAGGGGAGACTTTTATTAGCTTGACTTGCAGATGACCTAATATATATATATATATCAAGCTAATAAAATATATATCAAGCTAATAAAAGTCTCCCCTTCCCCCTTATAAATTTGTCATTTGCCAGTTAGACCACACCTCACTAACAAAAATTGTAAACTGTAATTTAAAGGTGAAGCACAAAGCTTATATATATATTAGGTCATGTTGGAAGCACACAAAATGGGCAAGCGTAAGTATTTGAGCGACTTTTTCAAGCGCTAAATTGTGATGGCTAGAGGACAGCTCTTGTGGGATGTTTCTGGTCTGCAGTGGTCAGGACCTACCAAAAGAGGGCCATGAAAGGCTCAGCTGTTCAGTGCTAGTAACATGCTCACTGAAACACTGCCAGCGCAGTGACCAAGCTGTTAATATCAGTTTCATGTTGCTGTTCACGTTCGGGAGCCAGTGGGGCAGGCTCGCAATCATATGACCACTGTCATAGGCAATCAAAGTTATAACATAAGGAAGTCTCCCTCTGTTTTCAGTGTTCAGAAACCCTTAAAAAGCCGTCTGGAGTTGGCGGCAGGGAGTGAAGTAAGATGCAAACAATTTAAAGATTAAAGGTGGCCATACATTGTTAGAATGAACATTCATCTGAACGAAAATCTAACAGTGGTTGAACAGTCGAGAGTACATCACCGATTTTCGTTTTTGAGATGTAAATTTTTCGATTGGACAGGTTGGAAAAATTTTCTTGACCGAATGAAAATTTATGAATCAGTGTGGTTATCTTTCATCAAAAATCTCAGCAAGGACAGAGCACATGCGCAAAAGGAAACTATTTCTGTCGATCCTCAAAAATTGGTTGGTTAGTATGGCTAACGAACAAGTTTCGAAATCGACTTTTGACTATGCGTGATGGGGAAGTTTAGGTGTAATCAAACGAGGGTTCGTGCTAGGAACGAAAAATCATACAATGTGTGGCCACGTTAGCTGTAACTATCACTTTTGCTGAACATCTTGGCTGCTTATTACCCAAAGTGGCAAAATAACAGATCTACGTGCAGGGTCAACAGGTAATAAAATGTTGTCATTGGAGGGATGCCTGTAATATCATATGTTGTTTTTTTTATTTTGTCCATAGTTCCACTTTATTAATTGAATTTTGTTTTCTCCACCCAGCATACTGTGGTAACATTGGCCATTTTGCTTCTTTTTTGCTGTCACTTTTTTTCTTTACAAATTTAAAAATAACATGGCTTATTGTAATGTCTAGTATTTTAAATCTGATTTTATATTTCTTTTTATTTTCTAGGTTTCGAGAGCATTCTAGAAGGGCTGTATGGACCAGGATTACGTAGAGACCTCAGTTTATTTGATGGTATTTTGTTTGTTTTTACATTAAAAACTAACTTGCACTGTTTTGCCTTTTAAATAAAATGAACCGGTCATCCAGAAATAAAACTTTTTGGGTAAGGTGTACTGTTTCCTCGGTCAACCCCCACCCTCCCCACCTTTTAAAACATTCCTGTGTTTTAGTATACTCTAAGGTAATTAAGCTAGGGGCAAAGTACAATGGCCTTTGGAAGTCACTCTAAATTAATTGTTTACTACTTTGATTATAGAAGGGTGCTATGGGTTACTGTCTTCTTTAAACTAGCCATACCTGCTGAAATCCTAAAACACATTAAACTGGTTTCTTTTATTGCTCCTGAAATCAAAGCAAAATGTATTAAAATTTACAAAAATATTGCATATTTAGCAGTATCATTATATATGCATTATGTTCATCAGCCCACGGGCTTGTATCTGCTGTAATAAAAATGTATAATTCATATATAAATTTATTGCATTAAGGGCTTGTCTATGTCCTGTCCAGAACGTTTTTGTCTGCACCTGAAATGCATCCCAATATATTCTTATGGTATTTCTGGGCTCTGTTCACACCAGTGCAGTCCGTTCCATTTCCAGGGGAAAACAAATGCTGCATGCACTATATTTTCTGGTCTGTAAATGCATGCAAACACACTGGGTTACACCTCAAAGCACGTGCACTCATCGTCTTTGGTCGACCATGGCGAGGCCTATTCTGAGTGGAAGCTGTCCTGGTAAACTGCTGTATGGTCTTTGCCGCAGCTCAGTTTCAGGGTCTTGGCAATTTTCTTATAGCCTAGGCCAGTGGTGGTGAACCTTTGCACTCCAGCTGTGGCAAAACTACAAATCCCAACATGCATCTGCCTCTAGAAGTTATGTCTGGCTGTCAGAGCCTTGCAAAGCCTCATGGGACTTGTAGTTCCAAAACAGCTGGAGTGCCAAGGTTCACCACCACTGGCCTAGGCCATCGTTATGTAGAGCAGCGATTCTTTTTTTCCCCCCCAGATCCTCCAGAGTTCTTTGCCATGAGGTGACATGTTGAACTTCCAGTGACCAGTATGAGAGAGTGAGAGTGATAACCCCAAAAACACTGGATGTCTTTTTTTTTTTTTAACAATGAATTTATTAGATTTTTGTCAATAGAACAGAAATAATAAGCAAAAAGAATACAACATGGATACATACACTGGATGTCTTGACTGTGTGCATGGCATTATGAAATCTGAAGACTACCAAAGAATTCTGGGGTGCAATGTAGGTCCCAGTGTCAGAAAGTTGGGTCTCCGTCAGAGGTCATGGGTCTTACAGCAGGACAATGACCCGAAACACCCAGAAATGGTTTCAGACAAAGCGCTGGAAAGTACTAGACTGGCCAGCAATGAGTTTAGACCTGAATCCCATAGCGCACCTGTGGAGAGATCTCAAAACAGCAGTTGGGAAAAGGAACCCTTCCAATCTGAGAGACCTGGAGCAGTTGGTGAAAGAAGAGTGGTCCAAAATTCCTGTAGAGAGGTGTAAGAAGCTCATTGATGGTTACAGGAAGCAATTGATTTCAGTTATTTTTTCCAAGGGCTATGCTACCAAATATTCATTGAGGGTGCCAATAATTTCGTCCAGTCCGTTTTTGGATTTTTGTGTGGAATGTCTCAGATTTGGCTTTTTTTTTCCTCCACTGTTTTGTCATACCAATACAAACAACAGAAATGCAAATGTTTAGGCATTGTCATGTTTAATTGCTAAAATGTTCTATTCAAAGTGGTTCATTATCTGACAGAAATGCAGGGGTGCCAATATTTTTGTCAGTGCGTGCATGTGTATAAATTATATATATCTCTCTCTTCTAGGTATTTCCTAGCACATAGCAAATCTTTGCTTTAAGTTCAGGTGCACTTTAGTTTAGCCAATTTTTTTATGACCTATTTCATTTTATGATTTTATAAATTGTAACCGGATCCTTTTTTTCTTATTGTTATTTGTATATGTTCAATTTAAATGTATTTATAAGCATAATCTTATAACGAGGGCAATATTTCTGTGTTTTAGACTGTGAACCAGAAGAACTGGTTGATTGGTGTGTGGATGAGAAATGTTCATTATGTAGCCTTCACAAGGAGACAGTTGTAAGTATTTCTGTCTGCATTACAATATTACAAGTTACAGGAGTTCTCGTGCGCTAAGATTGTGATCTTTTTTTTTTCCCTTGAAGGACTGCACGCCATCAGGTGGTTCAGCACAGTCCACACCTACAGGGGAAGTGATATCTCAGGGCCAGTTCAACACAGATAAAATTGAATGCCAAGCTGAAAATTACCTAAATGCACTCTTTCAGAAGAAAGGTATGCAATTTTCTTCCATTGTAAATACAGGTTTTGTTTTTGAGAAAATGGAGACAAATCTGAAACTCTTTTATGGCCAGTGATCATTTAAGCCTAGGTGCCAAGGCCAAATTTAGCTGTGTCAGTGTAACAAAACAAAATAAGAAGCCCAACGTGTGTGCGTGCAGTGTTTTTTTTTTTTTTTTATTATTATTATAAGCTGACAAATGGACAAAATGTTGTTTTAAAAAAATATATATTTGTGTATTTAAGGCTTAACAATTTTTAATCTAGTTTTCTTAATCGTTCATTAACCTCCTTGGTGGTATTCCCGAGTGTGGCTCGGGGTTAATTTTCAGTACCATAAGCGATAACCCCGAGCCACACTCGGAATTGCAGCGTAGCGTCTCTTACCCTGTCCACGATCCCCCGCTGTGTCCTCCGGCCGATGCCGTCATCCGGGTTCCGTCCCTTGCGAGCGTCTGCGTCGCAGGGGGGAGTAACCAGCGGGAATGTTAAAAGTAAAAAAAAAAAAGATAAAACAAAAAAGGGAAAAAAAATTAATCAGACCGCCAGGGAGGTTTAGAGACACCAAATCAGACGGATCCTGAGATGTATTGGTATATTCCTGCATACAGGAATGAACGTTGTTGGTTAGCCAGAATATAACCCTTCCAACTCCCATTATCCTTCAGTTTTTTGCTGCTGGTATCCTTTTGGACATCTTTTCTCCTCAGAGTGAAGCAATGATAAAGACATGGTTCAGGCCTGTTATGTGTCCTGCTTGCCCTACTCTCCAGACACTTTACTGTGCGAGACTGAGATACACCCACAAGGCGTCCTATCCCTGAAGACTCTCCTAGGTGTATGCCTACCTGAGGGGTGAAAACTGTCAGAATGTAGCAGCTGGCACTTTTCAGTTTTCACTACTGTCTGTTTGCCAGAGCGCACTATTTTAGACCACTGCAGTAAGTTTCAGGAGCTTTGCTTCTTTTTTGTAGCTTGGGATGTGATGATATGCTCTTGCTGGTCCCCCTATGGGGTTAATGCTTGATATTTTATTGCTGCAATATTTTTAAAAACACTCGAGTGAAGGAAGCTGCATCAATTAAATGTGTTTCTGGCACATGTGAGTCTAGCATTCCCGCCCTCTCAGCGTGAGGTAAATCATAGCTCCACAGCAAGGCTATCTGTGACGGTTGTCCTTGTGAATGCATAATAGTGACACTGTCACAGCCAGCTATATACTTTTACTTTTGGGCCTAAGGAGATTCAGTCTGCTGACATAATTCCTAGGCTAAAAGATACCCTTTAGGTTGTTATTGACGCAGTGCATTCATGTTTAAATATGCAGGCACCTACATCTGATGGGCCAAACGTTATCAGTCTGGGCTTCCTTAAGAGTCCCCAAAACCTGAAAACCTTTTCCAGTACATGCCTTACTGCAACCTGTTTTGTATGGTGACTAGTCTGCTCCTGAAATGCTATTTTCACCCCAAGCATCTTGCTGAGCAATACAGTATAGAGGAGGCATTTATTAAACAGTTGGCAGTTCTCATTGTGGATCCTGCTTTCTCTGGTCTTAAAAAAAACAAAACACTAGCTTTTCCTATTATTGACCTTTTCAATATTTGAGGATCTGATCGATAAGAGGCTGGAAGATCTTACAGAGTCTTCATTCTCCCTGACAGGCCGTGCCCTGCAATTTGTCATTTTTATCATGCCCATATTAGCAGGGTCTGGCAAATGGACAAAAAAAAATGTGTGTGCCTTTTGAGGGGGAAAGACTCTTTGGTGCGTCCCTAGACAACTTCATCAAAGATGTCTTGGGTGGAAAGAGTACCATTTTGCCCCAGCAAAAGAAAGCTATTCCTCACATTGGAAAGCCTTCTGTGTGTTTTGAAGCTAAAAAAAATAAATAATTTTCATTACTCTTAGACCTCTGAGTATGAATCCTTGACTTGGTTCCATCACAACCAGGTCATTCTTATCTTCCCTCCATCTGTAAGACTTTCTGGCCTCCTGTAGACATCAAGGATACTTACATGCATGTCTCTATCTTTTCAACACATAAATGCTACCTGTGTTTTGCTGTGGGCATTTCCCTTTGGCCTGTCCAATGAACCTTGAGGAACCGCCAAAGCTGCTAGCTCATGTGCCATCTCGTGTCCTATCGGTCAATGTCCAATGAGGAATGTTCAGGCTCTTAAAGAGTTCGCTTGGATCCTTAACCTTCAGAAGTCAGCATTGAAACAGACTCACTGCTTGGATTTTCTTGGTCTTCGCCTAGATGGCACTCAGATTTTATTTCCCTGTGAGACAGACTCCTGAATCTCCATTCCCATGTTCAAACTGCAGTCTAGGAGCTGCCCAACTCTTCTCTTTTGCAAGAAGAGCTACCATCAAACCCTCTTCTGGGTTTGATGGTAGCCTCCTTCGAAGCAGTCCCATATGAATAATGCAACTCAAGATCATGGCAACTCATGGAATGACACCCAAGACTAGATTATCCCTGGCCTGGTGGCTCATGAATCCAGTCAGGGACATCCATCTTTCTAGAAGAGTCTCACAATGGGGACATCCTAAAACATTTAATGTGAAAATGTCTTAATGTACCATAATGTGCCTAAACCTCAATCAATTGCCTTAAAACTTTGCACAACCCAAGTGCTCAGCTTCCCAAACCTATCCTGAAGGTTTCATGGATTTTGGTTACCCACAAGGCAAATGAGTGACATTAAGCTTGTTTTTTGGGGAGCTTAACGTACAAAAAACAACTTACATGTTAACCAATTTCCCCCAAACTTACAATACCACACGACTCTATCTATGTCAACATATTCTGAAGATTTGGGGTCATTTGATAAAACATACCAAAAGTTATTCACATTAAACTATTTTATTACATTCCTGGAAAGCATTTAGCTTAATGTAAGAAGAGCTTAATGTACCATATTGTGCCTAAACCTCAATCAAATGCCTTGAAACTTTGCACAACCTAGGTTCCCATCTTCCCAAACCTATCCTGGAAGTTACATGGATTTTGGTTACCCACAGGGCAAATTAAGTTTTACCTGATACGGTGCCATCCGTAGTCATTGCGAGCACCCATTTTTCAACATGGGAAGTCCGGTAAGGTGTGCTACAGGTCCTTGGACACTAACACTCACACAGACACACAGAACTATGACTCATCCTGCTGTCTCTCCATAGAGCAGAGAGGGGAGGGGGGAGGAGGGGAAAACAGCTGATTGCAGTTTAGAGATAAGAAACCCGACCCTGTGAGAGAGACGGATTGAAGATATTGTGGAGGGAATTTTGTACTTCTAGGCCTCTGGCCAGTAAAAGAATCTATAAAATAAAGTATGAAATACAGCTCTGTGACTCCTAAGAATGCACACACATGTACACCCCCCCCTGCACCTCCCCATTGCCACCAAAAACTCAAAATCACTTACAAAGGTGGAAATGTCCTTTAAGTGTCCCAAAAAACAAGCTTAATGTCACTCATTTGCCCTGTGGGTAACCAAATGAAACTTCCAGGATAGGTTTGGGAAGCTGAGCACTTGGATTGTGCAACGTTTCAAGGCATTTGATTGAGGTTTAGGCACAATATGGTACATTAAGCTCTTCTTACATTAAGCTAAATGCTTTCCAGGAATGTAATAAAATAGTTTAATGTGAATAACTTTGGGTATGTTTTATCAAATGACCCCAAATCTTCAGAATATGTTGAAATAGATAGAGTCGTGTGGTATTGTAAGTTTGGAATAAATTGGTTAACATCTAAGTTGTTTTTTGTACGTTAAGCCACATTAAGCTCCCAAAAAACAAGCTTAATGTCACTCATTTGCCCTGTGGGTACCCAAAACCCATGAAACTTCCAGGATAGGGTTTGGAAGTAGAGAACTTGGGTTGTGCAAAGTTTCAAGGCATTTGATTGAGGTTTAGATACTTTTTTACACATTAAGCTCTTTTTACATTAAGCTGTTCACATTAAATGTTTTAGGATTGTAATAAAATAGTTTAATGTGAATAACTTTTGGTATGTTTTATCAAATTACCCCGAATCTTCAGAATATGCTGGCATAGAGAGAGTCTTGTCGTATGGTAAGTTTGGGGGAAATTGGTTAACATGCAAGTTGTTTTTTGTACGTTAAGCCACATTAAGCTCCCCAAAAAACAAGCTTAATGTCACTCATTTGCCTTGTGGGTAACCAAAATCCATGAAACCTTCAGGATAGGTTTGGGAAGCTGAGCACTTGGGTTGTGCAAAGTTTCAAGGCAATTTGATTGAGGTTTAGGCACATTATGGTACATTAAGCTACATTAAGCCATTTTCACATTAAATGTTTTAGGATGTCCCTCACAATGCATGCCAGCCAGTCAAAATCTCCTGACCTGTTGTCCCTTAATGAACTCCAAGGAAAGGTCCAAATCCTGTTTTTTTTGTGTGTTTGTTTGTGTTTTTTTTTTTGTTTAAATGTGGTTTACATACTTGGAGGCTACACACTTAGCACAGTGACAAGTGACCGCTGTAAACAAATCTTACGTGATCATTATGATTGGTTGTCCAGTCATAAAAGAGAACCAACGCTGTCGGTGAGAGCAGGACTAGGAGCATGCACAGGTTTGTGCATATGGTCATTTTATTTCCTTTTGTTGTATTTCAAAAGTCAGTGGTAAAATGCAGCATGTTGGCTTACCTTTTATTTGCCTGTTTGTCCATAAAGGGTTAAAGGTTTTTTTTAGGTTTTTTTTTAGTGTGTGTGTTTTTAAACATGTTGATTCTGCTGGCTTTCAAATGTTTGCATTGTAGTCAGTAGGAGGTGCAAATAAGTTAGTGAGGGATAGCAGTGTGAAGAGAAAAAAGTGAAAAGTTGCATTGGCAAGATTGCTTAAAGGAGAACTATGGTGTTAGGGTTTTTCCCCATAGTTCTCCTTAGGGTAACGGGAGGACACAAACTAGCGTCCTCCCGTCACCCTAAGCTCAGTATACCGTGAGCTACAGCTCACGGTATACTGAGACGCCGCAGTATACCCCGAGCTACTGCTCGGGGTATACTGAGACGCCGCAGCTGAAGCAGATCTCGACAATTATGTCTGGATCCGCCCAGCTGCGTGACTGACAGCTGGCTCTGCCTATCTAGAGGCAGAGCCAGCTGTACCCGCCCCCTCCCCCGTCCGTTCCGCCAGTCAGCGCTGGCGGATCAGAGCGGGAAATCCAGCCCCTCCCCTGTCACGGCAGAGAGCTGTGACAGGATCGAGAGCTGATCCTGTCGCCGGTATGTGTTCGCTCACCTCCCAATCTACTGAGCCGACCTGTGAGAGTCTCATTGTCACAGGTCGGCTAGAACTATGAGGTGAGTGAAAAGCACTCACCTCATAGTTCTCCTTTAATATATTTTTGTTAATGGACTCATGTATGAAAGGAGACTTATTTGTAGAAAGCAATGCCAATCAGTAAAACAGTTCAGTGAACAATGATTGCATTGCAGCAAACTGTAGTTATCCTAAAATCAGTAAGTTCACTTAATTAACCTTTTAATCTGATTTTAGTGATCAGTAACCAACAAAACACACAGACCACAGACCACAGAGTCAGTAGGAGGGCAGCAGTGGTGTACTTCCTAAAGCCTGTAGTCTGCTTCCTTCATCAGCAGTCACATTTGGGCTTCCTAATAGGTTTGAATCTTGGTACAGACATCAGGATTTCTGTGTGGGTGAGACCGCAAGGAAGGGGCTCCAACATTACAACCGGGCATGTTCAATGATCACTGATAAGTGTAGGTTGGAATGATGTACTACAGCAGTGTCTTAAAACACGGAAGTACTGAGTAGTGCCATTTATGCATTTCAAGTTTTCAATTTAGCCTTCTGTTTAATCTTTTGATATAGCCTTACTATTTCAGTAGTACTGAACCATTTCATAGGGGACCTGTGCTGACACAAAATAGCAATCCAGATTAGGAGTTCTGACCTCCCTGTCTAAAAAAACAAATATTGACGTCGGAGATAGCCAGGGAACTAGGGTTCTTAGTGCAGCAGTGACAGTCCCCATACTTCTTTCTGAACAGGATCCTTTTAAAATGACATTTTTGCTTGATCTGAATTGTGGCCTTTTTGAACTGATTTAAAGTTACAAATCAATGATATCATGGATTCTACATATTTTCAGTGCAGAGAACGGATTGTCTTTTTCTCCTCCAGATCTTCCTCAGAACTGTGATCCCAACATTCCACTTGTAGCTCAGGAATTAATGAAGAAAATGATACGTCAGTTTGCAATTGAATATGTTTCAAAAAGCCGAAAAATGTATCAAGACAATGGAACAATGGTTGAGTCTCCTAATGGCTGTAATGGTATCCAGCTGAACCAAACAGAAAGCTTGTTACAGGAAGACCAGGATAGTCCGTTAGACCTCACAGTGACACGGATTCAGGAGCATTCTTTTCAGGACGGTAAGGAGTGCTTGTTGAATTGAACAAATATTTTCTGGATACCATGTTCGCAGGGTGGTATTTCATGCAGCACTAGAACCCGAGTACAGATGCAACAGGACACTAAACACATTAAATGTTGTTGTTCTGATGCATGCTGGGTTTGTTGCAAAAGGCAACTCTTTCCTCCCGCAATCAAAAAGCAAATGTTCCTGATTATAAAAGTATCTGAAGAATTATTGATATTATAAAACATATTGGAGACATGTAGTACATCAGTTCTGTCACATAGCATGGCAGTGATGAACAGGAGCAATGAGACAGTGACTCAAAAACATTAAATAGAGCATGGGTCAACTTGATAGCCAGGCAACTAGGTTTTTTCTGAATTATAAGTACCCTATGACTGCCTTCATATTTCATCAGGATAGGCTTACTTGGAGGCTATTGCCTTCTCTTTTTTCCTGATGATATACAGGTGAAACTCGAATAATTAGAATATCGTGCAAAAGTAATGCCAGTAAGTGCTGCAAAAGGGGCCCAAACCAAGTACTGAGTACATATGCATGCTTGTACTTTTCAGAGGTCCGATATTGTTCTATGTACAATCCTTGTTTTATTGATTGCATGTAATAATCTACTTTTTTGAGGTTGTGGATTTGGGGTTCTTGGGGTTTTCATGAGCTGTAAGCCATAATCATCACAATTATGACAAATCACGGCTTGAATTATCTTGCTTTGCATGTAATGAGTCTATCTCATATATTCGTTTTACCTTTTAAGTTGCATTAGTGAAATAAATGAACTTTGCACGATATTCTAATTATTCGAGTTTCACCTGTATTACCTGCTTGTGGACAGTTATCTCATTAGCAGTTCATTGATTTCAGTGTTCTGCATATGTGGTGATTGTCAACAAAGGGTTAAATCTTTAAGTAGCTGGAGATTAAAGTCACTAATGTATCCCCAGCCTAAATGATCAGCCTACTAAAGAATAAACCCATGACTGGAGGCTAGTTGTAAATGATCAGAAATTGATCAATTCCAAGGATTCATCTAGAGTGACTGCTAACTTAATCCATTCACTGCCAAGGACGTTAGGCTTACGGAACAAAACCACTTGCAGCTGGCTAGTTAGGCAAGCCTTACGTCCTTGGCACTCTTCCACAAGCTCATGGCCAATTCATCAGAATCGTCCCCTTGACTGAGCTGATTGAATTAATAGCTAGGATCAGCGCTTGACAAACCTCTGATTATAGCTAATAATTTAAAATATGATCTGACCCCAACATACTAAAGGCTCATTCACACCAACAGTCACACACTGGCGTGCGATGTGGACATGCACTACAAAATTAGTAGCACCATCTTTCTATTCTCTGGGTCCTGTGCTTTCAGAAAATATATGGTTTGGGGGGGCTTTTACAAACTGAAAGCTGTGATAATCTACACCCCAAGGTACTCAAAGAACTCAGCCAGGTAATAACGAGACTATTGTTCCTCATTTTTAAGGTTCCATAATGGCTGGTAGAGTGCCAAGCGACTGGCGAAGGGCTAATGTGGTACCAATATTGAAAAAAGATTCAAAATGCCAACCGGAGAACGATAGACCAGTTAGTCTGACATGCATAGTATGTAAACTGTTAGAGGGAATTATTAAGGACTACTTAGTGAAATGCGTCCGGGATCATGGCATAATAACTGATAACCAGCATGGATTTAGGAAGGATCATTCTTGCCAGACCAACCTGCTAACCTTTTACAAAGAGGTAAGTAGAGATCTGGATGAAGGGAGGACGGTGGACATAGTATATCTGGACTTTTCCAAAGCATTTGATACGGTGCCACATAAACGCTTGTTATACAAGCTATGGGCATAGATGAAATAGTGTGCACAAGGATAGAAAACTGGCTACAGGAACGTGTACAAAGAGTATCGATAAATGGCACCTTTTCAGACTGGGCTAAAGTCATGAGTGACGTGCCCCAGGGTTCTGTACTGGGTCCCATGCTTTTTAACCTGTTTATTAATGATATCGGGGAGGGAGTGAGTAGTCATGTCTCAGTGTTTGCTGATGATACGAAAATTGGGAGGGTAATAGACACGGATTTAGACACTATAACATTACAGGAGGACCTGGATAAACTCGGGGAGTGGGCAACTGTATGGCATATGAAGTTCAATGTCTATAAATGCAAGGTAATGCACCTTGGAGTTAAACATAGGCAAATGGACTATACTCTTATGGGTGTGCCACTAGGAAAGTCGCAAACGGAGAAGGATTTGGGGATTGAGGAACAGCGCACAGTGCCAGACTGTGTACACAAAGCAAGCGTCCTGTCTTGCGTTAAGAAGGGAATGTATTGCAGGGACAACTCTATAATTTTGCCAATTTAGAGTGTGGAATCATTCAAGAAACTCCTGGATGAGTTCCTTGGAGACCATAACATAAAGGGGTACAAGTACTCTTAAGAGCAAAATCACACATGGACTACTATACATGCACACACCTGCTCAAACATAAATGCATACACGCAATAGGTTGGACTTGATGGACTTATGTCTTTATTCAACCTCAAATACTATGTAACTATGTAATTTAAAAAGAAACAAAAAAGTGGAGAAAAAAAATCAAAAATGGTCTGGCCAGGTAAAAATTGGAGAACCTGGTACTTAACACTTGCTGTATCTCAAGTTTTTAATTCTGCTTCACAAATGAACAACTTACATCCTACCTCTTTTAATGCATCATTCACATTTATATGAGTTGATGGACTTTCTCAGTAGGAATGGCTGGTAGGACTTTTGACATGTCTATATCAATTCAACTCCATGGCATATTAAACATGCTAAGTGTTTATAAAAGTTAACGTGTATCTGTGCCTAGATTATGCACATTAAAGTGTTTACATATTCGGCACATGCACGGTTATAAGCCTCCATTCACTTGTGCAGAAAATCCTCTTCAATTTTTAGAACATCATTTAAATCACAGCTCTTCCCCTCTTATTTTTGTTGGCAGCCTACCAGCCTTCTAATGTGCTGCAACCTGTTACTCCGAAACACAATTTCACTGTGTCTATTGTTATCTTTAAGGATTAATTACTTCACAGTACATGCAGCTTCACAGGTCAGCGTGTGCTTGTTTTAAAGCTATTTTACTGCTTTTTAACAATATATAAAAACTTTAATATATTCTCAGTCTGGGCACAGATGCACTTTGAATTTATATAGTACATGAATGCTGCAATAAAACAATAAGCCCGTACAAGGTTCTTATTCTCCACATTTGGTAGATAAGTAACTATTTGTAATGCACAAAATGCTAAGATTGCTGTTTTTAAAAGAAGTCCCATTCATCTCCTGTATGTCAGACATATAGTAAGGCACCTATCCCCTTATCAATAGTATAAACTAGTGAAGAACTGTGTCTTTAGGTATATTCAGGACTTTTCAGGAGCGACATTAAAGGACAATTAAACCCTTGCGTTTTTTTTGCATGTATCTAGGAAGCGGAAGTCATATTGAAAAACATTTTTTTTAAAAGGTTAAAACTTACCTGTGTCTCTGCTGCTCGCTCCCGTCCGAAGAACTGAAGATTATCGGGCGCCCGCAAAGGATCATGGGACGGGCGCATGCGCAGTAGAGATCCTCGGCCGGGAGAAGAGAGACACAAGGTAAGTCAATGCAAGCAGCCCGGGAACGTGCACCCGCACAGACTCCGTGGGACAGGAATAAACCAGAGTCTGTGGTGGATCAGAGACCGGTACCAGCGCTAGAGGGACTCCTCAAAACTACTGGAATGAAGACCATGATCGGATCAAGAGGCACCATTTTAGTCCTTGACTACATCCTGGATGTAACAGGCCATGTGTATACTGCCAGTTAGCCCCGCCCACCTGTGTGCGGCGCGTGTGAGCGGGAAAGACACAAAATTTAAAAACCGGCAGCGATGCCTGTTAACATACAAGTGATCCGCCGGCTATAGAGCCGCCCCTCTCCCGTTGTCACGCTGAACCCGGGCTCCGCCGTGCCCGGTGCGAGCCCGGGACCGGCATAGTGCCTGTCTGACGGGGGATCAGAAAGAGGTCGGTACACGATCTCCCTCCGGTCCCCTCTCCGGTGTCAGAATGGGGAAGTGGTGTATATTACATGACTTCCGCATTCTCGTGTCACTCTCCAGCTTCAGACGCTGGAGAGAAGCTGATGAAGTAGATCTGTTTCTTCAGCTTATTCGGGTGGGGCCCAGGTGACATTAGGGGTCTTGGAGACACCACATAAAAAAAAAAAAATGTCATTCTTTAAGTCCCCACCCCTACATACACGCATGCAAACATGCGTCAGGTGCGCATACCTGCGTAAACGACGATTGCGCCCATTACGCCGCACATGTTACATATCACCACGAACGTCGCAGTGAGAGCAATACTTTTAGGGCCATTAACCACTGATAACACTAAACTGATGAGCGGTAATAGCTTTTAAAGAGTCGCCTATGGTTAATTTTGGGTATGGTAGTTTTTTGCGATTTCGCGGGTGTGCCCAATTTTTAAGCTTGACATGTTTGGTGTCTATTTACCCGACGTGACCCCGTCTTTTATATTTTAACAAAAAATTGGGTAATAATAATTGTTTCCTAACCTAATGTAAAAAAACATTTTTTCCCCCCAAAATGTTCATTAATTTTTCCTAAATATAGTAAAAAATAAAACCCCCAGTGGTGATTTAAATACCAAGTTTTTATTTTATTTTAAATATACGTAAAATTAAAGATTTTTGGGACATTTTATGACCTCCTGTTTGTGTGGCACCTGGAAAGTCCCAGATGTACATAAAAAATATTTCTATATTATTCCTTTTAATAGGGATGTGGTGCATTAATAATTTACCAGTCCAGTACATTTACTATTCGCTGTAGTGTAGAAGTAATGCTGTTTTATGATGGAAATGTGCTTTACTGAGATGGGTTGCAGTAGTATACTGTTGGTCCTCTGAAAGCTGGTAAAGGGGGTTGTAATGCATTGAGTTGGAATACAAACCTCTGCAGAACTAATGCACAGTGAAAAGATGATGGCTTAGAGATTTGCTTTGGTGATTTATCATTTTTATATACAACTGCCCTAACAATATAATCTTGTATAAGTACAATGCATTAATGCAAAGTTTTTTTTTTTTTTTTTTTTCCCCCCCTCGCAGATGATGGGGTTTTGGATCTCTCTGTAAAAAGTAACTGCAGTGGACTAGAAGAAAACTCCAAAATCAAAAATCTCAAACTTGAGTGAGTAGCAACTTCACTTACATAGACCATATACAAGAGTTTATAGATCTAACATGCTGCATTGTTTTAGCTTGTTGTTACATTGTCTGTTCCTGTTGCTAGTGTCTGTGTTTTGTAGGATATTTATTTATATAATTTTTTTTGTTGGGGGGGATCATATTGTACTCATACATTTTATAAAATGTAGTTTCATGCAACATGAATGCATTTAGGGGATGAAGTAGCAGAAAGTAGAACAAGTACTAGTGACCAGATAGTTGTTCTAGCTGCAAGGAATAGTATTTTCCCAACTTTAGCATTAGCATAATTAACCATAAGAAAATTACAGTGCTGTTTTATAAAATGTTCATATTTTATATCAAATGTATTTACATAATTGCCCTGTAAAGCTTTACAGTAAGTAAATATTTACTGTATCATAGTGGAAATATATCTACAAAAAACCCACAAAAAAACACCTGTAATGAGAATTACATCGTCTGTAATTGCTGAACTTTCCTCGTTTTTGAGAATCTTAGTTTCCTGGCTTTCATGACAATGCTTTGGATTGAGCACTTTAACTGATTGAGGTCATTATGCCAAAAAGGAGTATGTAGCAAGAAAAAAAACTGGTAATGGGGCATTTTTTTCTATGGATTGCATAAAAATCAAAAAGCCTGGTTTGTCCTGGAAAATAAAAATATATGTATTATTTTGTTAACTTTAAAGTTAACAGTATGACCGTTTAAAAAAAGTACCAAATCCAGTTACTTTGTGATGCACACGCCTCCAAAGTAAACCAAAAAACTTCCTTCAACTTTCCTGATTGAGCCAAATCCTTCCTTTGTATCTCATACGTTTCCCCTCCCAGACACGGCAACTCGCAGTGGGAGAGTTTCAGCAATAGAGGCAGTGCTGTCAATCCGGAAAGCAGAGGGCATGATTAGGTGTTGGCAGGTGCTGTTTTACAAGCTACGGACTTGTGCATCAGTTTTGACAATGCTAACAGCCACATACTATGCAACATTTTTTCATCCTACTGTAGTGCAAACATGAGTGTAACTACTCTGCTCTGCATTAGGTGAGCTTTCCTGGCAGGATCAACCTGTATATGTGGGACTTTGCAAGGGGACTAAGATAAAGCTGTAAGTACAGCAGCTGAAAAGGTCAAGTTGGTGACCTACGAAAAGTATAGACAAAGAATTCTGACCCTTTTCTGCCACTCATTTACAGCACGCTTATTCCAGGTGTGTGTATATCAAAAGTATTGAAGCCGGACATGGCCAGTCAACTAGCATTTTTAAACAGAGGCCAGCAATTGCATTCCCTCTAATTTTCTTATGACCTATGTTTGTTAACACCAGATGAGTAGTGTTTTTCATCACAAGTGAATGATTACAAAATGGTAGAATATACATTGTATAAATATATATTTTTCTCATTAGTGTCTTTCAAACAGCAATATTTTCATGATTTATAACAATTGTAATCTTTCAAGTTGGCAAAGAATAGAACAGTTTTTTGTTTTTTTTAAAAGTATTTTGTGCTATACAATATATGTCTCCACTGTTTTCACACTTCTATACGTTAAAATAATACTTCTTATATTTTAACGTAAAACCTAGTATATTTAGACCTGTAGTTCAGTTAAATTTAAAAAAAAGAATGTGCCAGCTACCAGATCTGTTATGTATTAGTTTAATTTTGGCTTATTTTTGTGTCCTTCTAAATCATTTTGATATCTCTTTATGGTTTTGCTAGATGACCATCTAAATGTTTACAATATCTTTCCATGTGTGTTTGTTTCTATGTGTGTTTGGTACATTTTCTGTGGAAGTTGTCTGATTGTATTGTGTGTGTGTGTGACTCTGTTACTACAGCAAATCTTTTTTTTTTTTTAAAAAGGGGGGTTTACTCTTTTATTACTTGTTTAGCGGTAACGTCACGTTTCTACTAACAAAAAATTAAATATTAAGGGCTTACTAATTGCTTAAGTTAAATTATTAAGTTTGGCTCCGCAAGCAACTGTCAGCTGGAATAGTATGCACTTAAGAAATATATATACAAAATAAGAAAATATTTCCCAAATGGTTTTTGAATTCTTGACTGGGTTGCTATAGAAGCCATCGTACGATTGACAGTGTCCAAGCAGACGTGTAAAGATTTCTATAACTTCTAACTTCCACGTTTTGAATAAAAACTTTTATCAGAAGTGGTGATGTTACCTAAGCAAGGAGTTTTAATAAAGGAGTGGACCCTTCCATACCTGTGTACACGTCTCATGCATCCGTTGACCATCGTTTCATTCCATTCATCCAGGAGACTTCAGAGAGAGAGCGATGACTATTTGGACCGAAGTCCTGAGTTTGCAGACGGTTTGCTTTCAAAAGCATTGAAGGATATTCAGCTGGGAACACTGGATATTAACAAAGCAGCCATACTTTATGGCATACCTCAGAAAACTTTACTACTTCACTTAAAAGCCTTATCAGCAGGCAAGCCTGCATATTTTAAAAACACAGCTGAAAATTGTAATGATGGGTATTTATACAAAGACGGCACTAAGGCGTGTGCTGTTTTTCAAAAAGTCGCCCAGTGGGCAAGGGCTCAGGCCGAGCATACAGAAAAAAGTAAACTCAGTCTACTTGAAACCTCGGAACTGAAACTCCCAACCGCTTCCAGTTACCTCCATCAGTTAACTCTACAGAGAATGGTTGCTCAGTTCAAAGAAAAAAAGGAAGGTTTGCATTGTGAATCTTCAGCTCCCACTGTACAGTTAAAAATTCCTCAGGTACGAGTGAGCTCTGTGCCCAAACCACAGCCCGATCCTTCTGGTCTTCTGGATGTGATGCATCAGGTTACTAAAACCTCGGGAGTTATGGAAAATTCATCTCTGCAAAAACTAAAAAACATCCTTCCCAAGCAAAACAAAGTTGAATGTTCGGGAAACCTAACTCGTTCCAACCTCGATTCCTATGTTCACAGAGAGCTTTCTCCTTTGTGTCTTAATAACAAGAATGGAGTTGGCGACACCTCTTCTGACAACCCAGATGACGACCGGAAAGACAAACAGCCGAGGAAAAAACGGGGTAGATACAGACAATATGATCATGAAATTTTGGAAGAAGCTATAGCCATGGTACTGACTGGGAAAATGAGTGTTTCTAAAGCACAAGGAATTTATGGCGTACCTCACAGCACTTTAGAATACAAAGTCAAAGAACGGTCTGGAACACTGAAGAACCCTCCAAAAAAAAAGCTTCGCTTGGCAGACCCTCATTTGTACAATGTTGTTAATTCAGGGACTGATATCTCCAGAAATGGTAGCAAGTCTATGTAGATGTAATTTTGAAATTTTGACTATTTAATATCCGTGTGTATTGTTACACACGTCTACTGTACACGCAACCGAGTGTGACCTAACATACTCTGCCGAAACGATACAGTTCTTAACCACATTCATGCCTTTTAAAATAGATTATTCAGGGTTTTCACTGTGGACTGAATTATTTTGTTGCACACTTACTACTGATACTATGTTTTGAGCATTCGTTTTGCTTAAATAGCTAATAATTCAGGGTTTATAAGTCATAGTTAACAGCAGAAAACAAACTATGATCAACACTACTTACTACAGTACCAATGTTGAAATCACAACTTCCACTCCTTTTGACAGTCGTAGGACGTTTCATAGTCTAGCGATCAGTTTTTCTACTCCATGGTTTTAAGAAATGTCCCTGGATCACCTTCAGGTAAATGACAAAAGCTTATGTGTGGAAGCATGCAGTATTATTTCAATGCAGAATAACTGTACTTTCTTAAGTATCCACACATACTGAGATTTAAAAAGAGGTTTGGTAGAACATGTTATCACAAATGTATAATACTAATTAAATATTGTAAAAGGAAAATACTGCATTTTAATTACATCATTTATTAATGGGATGGACATTAACAAAACAGAAATCTCCCATTTTTAGTAGCTATAGAAAGGTCTCTGTTAAAGTGACTTTAAATAAACTATAAAACAAAAATATTTAACTTTATGAAGATAATTTATCAATTCTTTTTTTTTTTTCCAAAGTGTTAAACTTCTAAACTATGTCAAGAAACTTGGAATGCAGGTTAGAGCATGTTCATAATGTGCACATGATAAGGTTAAGACTTGGGTAATTTATTTATTCTTTTTTCCCTCAAGTGTTGCCATACTCATGCAATCAATGGACCTCATTGTGACTGTTTATGTGTTTGCTGCTACCGCAGTTCAGAAACCATTTCCTTATGGTCAAAGTCGACCTTCCCCAGACCAATTTTATCTATTTTGCTAATGACCAAACCTGCAATTTGTTCAGGGTTTTGAATATACAAAACACCATTGGATTGAGGCTTTTTTTAAAATAACATTTGTGATTATTTTTTACTGTTAGTGGTAGGATGTAGAATTGTTTTCTAACTAGTAATCTACCTTTACGGAACACTCCATTGTTGTGCATTGCAAGGCATTACACTGTTTATCTTACCTCTAAAATTCAGACTATTTTCATACATCGAATTTTTATTCCGGTAACTCTTTGGAAAACTAAAACTACTCTGAGCAGACATTATTTTGCACGTATGCACTTAAATTTAGTTTTGTACAATTTTACATGCATGGGTTTTGACTACTTTAAAGACCTTCTACAGCCTAATGTTACAGTTTTTTTCTGGGGTTTTTTTTTTTGCAAGGAGCAGTCGATCGTATGCTCCATCGTAACTGTTTAATTTAAATGTTTTTAAATACATAAAATATCTCACACAGTTCAGGTAATATCAACTTCCTCAACCTTTGCTGTGAATTATATATCTATAAGGTAACCAGAAAACCTCTAAGTAGAATTAATTTAAAAAAAAAGTTAACAGAATTCCTTCTATTAGGGACAGTCTTTTAGTAACCGCCTTCACTAATTTTATATCCGTACAGTTTGTAGTATTTATTTTTAACTTCATAGGGATTTTATCTGTTTTATTCATTGGTGGTATAACACACAACTTTAAAACACAGTTGTCTATATTCCATGTCCTTCACATACAAATACTTTTTTATGTATAATTTATCAATGCCTTTGGGTAAAACAATAAAATGTATTTACTGCTCACTGCTTAACGCAACCGAAGGCAGAGGTAAACCTTTTTATTTTATTTTTGGCCTGTTTGAATGTTACCAAGATATTTTATAATGAAAAAAAAATGGAAAGAAAAAACACTAGAAAGGAAAAAAAAGCTGTGCCTCTGTTTTTAAAACTACTACTTATCGGTAAAATGGTTTAAACCATTTCTTGTAGTTTCTGACTATTTTATATTGCATTGTAAATTAACCTACTGAAGATGATTAGTCGTTTACAGTAATATTCCAGGTTGTGTATTTTTTTTTTAATTATTATTTACAGCCATTGTCACTTACATTTCCAGTAATTTTGTATAACTGCAGTCTGTAGCTGGCTTGACTTTCAAAAGATTTTGTTGACTATATAAACTTATTTTAGGCAGTGAGTTCTATTTATGCATAAATCAATTGCACTATAATTCATGAATTATTTATTACATTTTTTCTAATGACTTTCCTGTATCTTGTCACGTGATGTTAATGTACTGTAATTCTGTTTTTTCTTTGTGTTTTATAAAGCTAAACCTGATTGTATGGAATTGTTTGGTTAATGTATTCTTAAGTTATAATTTATTGTAAAGCACTTCACTGCTTTTCCACATAAATTTAAAAGAGAATGATTATTGAGCTAATATAAGACGTTAATGGCTATTCACATTCTAAAGAAAATTCTTGCATTTATACCTTACTAAGTTTTTTTTTTTGTTTTTTTTTCTATTGTGCATAGTTTTATCTTTTGTCATATTTGTGGTATTGCCAATATCAATGTACAGATGTAGAAGAACATTTCTCAACTTGATGCATTTGTATCCAGTATGTACTGTCATGTACAGGTAGAGAAACCTGTTCTTACTATCCTCATTCTAGACCAATAACACAGCACTGTGCTCATTAATGAGTACTTTTCCTCTGACCTCAGCATTGTATATTATTAAATACAGACTTTTTCATTTTACTTTGTTTCATAGTGGAAGTGTTTTTTTTTTTTGTGTGTAATTTTGTATCTGTATTCAATTGTCAAATCTGAACTCCCGGTACATGGCTAAATACACAGATAAAATACATATAAGAGAAATGTTTTACCTGCTAAAAGATTTATCTCTGTCCATCTATAACTGAGACTTGCACAACTTTGCCACACAGCACAGTCGTTAAGTAGCACTCTGGGTTTTTGTTCCTCCCCCAGACCACAACCGAACAGTGAAAGAAGAAGCAGCAGACTGATGACCTTCTCCTACTCTCAGCATGTCCCTTGTTAGCACATACGAGCACTATAGCACAACTTATTGGCTCCTTATGTTGCTTCCTCTCCCAGTCTAAAGCTGGGCCTATACACTTCTATTCTCTTCATTAAACCTGCTGGCTGAACAAAGGAAATGAACACATTGCTCCATTAACCCTTACGATTGTTGGTCAATGAATCTTCCGCTGTTTAAATTGTATTCTGACAGCGGCCCCTGAATTTTCCGACATGCTCTTTCAATCAGCTGATGGAGGGATGCCGGGCCTTTAAAGGTGCCGACAGCATCCGGTTCCTCAAGAACCGTTTTAAGTATTAAGTACGTTTATAAGTTCCTGTGTACTGAATCAAAATCTTAATGTTATCAGCCTTCCCAGCTATCTGCTGATAACTACAAAACCTCTCCTCCTTATGTAACGGAGATGAGGAGAGTGGATGGGGTGTTTAAAAAAAAAAAAAAATCAGGAGAGCTGCCTGACAGCACTGCTCCTCTGTTGATACAGTGCAGTGATGCACCGATACCGGATTTTGGTATCGAGTAGGAGCACCAATTTTTTCCCCGGTATTTGCTGATACCAGAAGTCCCATTTTAAGGAAGCCGGGCAGCGTGTAATCACTCGCTGCCCAGCTTCCTGATTATCCGGGAAGCCGGCTCCGTACTACCTGGGGGAGGAGCCGGTCCCCCCTACCTGGTGGAGGAGCTGGAGTCCTTACCATTATTGGGATAGGCATCGGGAGCATTTGGGCGAGTACAAGTACTTGCCCAAATACTCTGTGCATCCGTAGTACAGTGAGTAAGTGTTGTCACTCTAGGACAAGAAGTATGTTACTTGCAAGATCATAAGGTGCAAATAAAGGCGGGAAAGGAGCTTAAAAAAGGAAAAAAACTCTATCAGTACATCTGATTGGTAAGCTGCATTATATAAAGTTTTTTGCTCTTGGGTTTAAACCATAGGTAATATTCATTCATACATGGTCATACTTTGTATGACGGTGATTTTTGTGTGATCATTGCGTTGTTTATTTGTAAAGGTGGACTCTGGGATTTTTTTGCAAAATACCCTTTCATTGCCCCCCCCACCCTCACTGCAATTCAATGCCCTTTAAATCTAGGGGTAAAGGAGAGTTATGGAAGGCTGCTGGAGTGAGTCTTGCAGCTTATTCCTTTACTCCCAGCTAACCTTAGCAGTGCGGAAGAGGGGGCACTTTAGTTGAGACCCAATTTAGCTTTAAAGTGCCATTAACTCCGGAGTTAAATCTTTAAAATGCATTCAATTAGATTAACTATAAACAAAAATGTACCTGATTTGTATATCACTCGGCTGTATATCCTCAAATCATATCTTAATTGGTGCTGAAACTGTCCTTCTGGAGGATGACTACTTTTGTTCCTCATGGTCCCTGTGTGTGTTGTAAAGTAGTCGCCACACCAAGCTCACTCCCGTGATGACTACAATCTCAATACAAATTAGTAAACTATAAGTGAGATTGTAGTCCATCATTGGAGAGAGCTTGGAAGGGTGTGCCCACAAAAGCACAGACGAGGCAAAGGACAAGTCAGCGGTATTGCCTGTGGTCTCCCTGCAGCAGACCTTTCCCCCATTGCTGACTTCCCATGCCTTGTTTCACACTGTCTTTGCATTAAGGTGGCCATTTAGGTAGAGGCATTGTTTTGCGTCTTTATCAGAGCCTCCAGAAAGGAGACTGGTGATCAACACATTAATGACAATACCAAAAATCTCACTCCTAATCTGGTGAGACAAACCTTTTAGTGGTGGCAGTGCCTCAGATCCCACACTACTGATGTATAGCTATTAAGATTTTGGCACCGAAATGCCTAGGCATTCTCACATACCCGGGAAGTGCACTGTTATTTGTTAGGGGGAAAACAAAAGGTAGTTTTTGTTTTCTAGGATACTGCTGGAGGCTCAACTAACTTTTCCAAATGTTCCCTACAACATTGGGAATTTTCACTTTTTTGAGTGACTTTCCTCTTTAATTGCAAACACTCCTTGTAAAAAGTGGGTCCAGCTACACTTTTTGGATGTACTCCATGACCAGTTAGAACAAAAGTAAACTTTCCCAGTCTGTGACATTCTGTGGTTTGGCTGAACATTACAGCAAGCATTACTCTGTAGAACTTTTCTAAAGTTTTATTGTCCAGTTCTACATAGAGACCTGCATTGGTACGAGTACCTGATTAATTTTGCAGGTTTGGGCAGTTTTAAAATTAATAGTGTGTCAGTGTAGCTATGTAGTAGGAGCAGGTATGCGTAGACCCACACAAAAAGATGAAGTGGAACTAAATGAAAATAGTTCAATACACATTTTAAAATATTTGTTATGCTGTCCAGCCATGTAGTGTTGTGATGTGTCACCTGCACTCCTTACAGCGATTGGACCTTGATTAGTGGTTGAGGCGCTCGTAGTGACTACATGGATGGCGCTGTGTTTTCCAAAATCGTAAAGGTGGAGATCACCAGC